CTTTTTCCAAGACCGCAAATCGTTTTAACATCTGAGAAAAAAAGCTTATGATATTTTACTACAGGCCTATTGTTCAGCTCCTACCTACAGGCGTATTATGAGCTTGTAGGTGTGAGTGAAGCATTTGGTCAATGTAAAAGTTTAGTAGCTTTTAGTACATAGATCAAATCGATTTGCAGTCTTCGGCAAAGTTGTTTTGTATAGTGTTCTCAATCTTATTCTGAGATTTGGTTATATTTAAGCAATATTTGAATTTGGTAATCAAATAAATAGAATCGTTCCGTTTCCCATACATTTACCCGTAAAAATTTAAAATTCTCTCGAAATTCCAATTCATAACCAAATTCGCTCAAATTTTGCAATTGTTGGGGACCTGAATGTGTTTTGGGAATGCATGGGGTGCAATATTGACCCACCCTAATGTGCAGCATTCCATAAAATATGTCGTATTCGACAATTTGACTGAGAAGCCGTTGAACTCAAACATATGCGGTTCAAATAAAAGAAAGATGAAAACGGCAAGTGCTTTTTGCTTTTACGTCATGAAGGAGATGAAAAAAGCAACTACGTACCTAAATATATTCTTTGAGAAGTGAACTACCAGTCAAACAGGTGTGAAAAAAGAATTATCAGTTACTAAAAGATTCATTGCATATTTTGTTCATGGTGCCAAGAATTCAAGAAAGCAGCGAGAACTTCAATGAAGTACAAATAAGCCCAATGGAAATTAAGATAATTTCTTGGAAGTTCTCGGAACTTCTGGAAAGTTTCGAGAATTTCTAGGTAATTCTTGAAATTTCTTGGAAGTTCCGGAAAGTCACAAGAACTTCCTCGAAATTCCGAGATCGTTCCAGAAATTCTGAGAATATCGCAGAAGTCCCGAGGACTACTCATTAATTCTGAGATTTATCTGACTTATAACGAATATTTGTAGTACCCGTGAACCTCGAATACAACGCATATTTCATCCAATTTAACATACGTTTTCAATGCAAAATTACACCAAATCATGTTCCCAGAATGCGATATACATTCGTTATGAGTCCGGTAAGACAGTAGATCTTTCCGCAAATGATCCGAGAACCTCCCAATATTTCCGAGATATTCCAAGTACTTCCCAGACGTCCCGAGAAGTTACCGGAAAAGACTAAAACTTTCAAATGTTTTCGGAATTCTCGAAACTTCGGGGAAAGTCCGGGGAGTTCTGGAAAGTGGTTGGATCTTCTAGGAGACGTTTTCGGGAATTTTCGAAAGGTGATGAAAATTCTGGGAAAACCATCCAACTTCTGAGAAGTATTAGCAATTTCTGGGAACCACTCGGATCTTGTCAAGTTCTTGGAACTTCTTGGAAAAAGTCTGGAAAGATGTGGAAAGTTTTCGGAATATTCGTGAAGTAATCGGAATTTTCTGTATCTTCTAGCTAATTCCCGAAACTTGTGGAAAGTTCTCGGATCTTCTGGGAAGATTTTGAAATTTCTAGCACGTTCTTTGAATTATTATAACGATCTTTAAACTTCTAAGAACTTCTTGGGATTTCTAGAACAATTTTAAATCTTCTGCGAAGGTCTCCAAATTTCCGGAACGTTATCTGTTCTTGGCATTTTTGGATGGTTCTTTTGGGAAGCTCACGGAAATTGTGGGTAGTTCTCGGACGTTCTTTGAAGTGCACGCATCTTTGAGAGAATCTGTCGGAAATTCTGGGAAGTTCTCGAATCTTAAGGAACATTCTAAGAGGTTCTCGGAATTTCTGACAAGCTTTTGGAAATTCTAGAAAGCTCTTGGGACTGATGGGGAGTTTTCGAAATTTTTGGGAAGCTCTCTCAGATTCTGGGAAGTTCTCGGAATTTCTGCGAAGTTATTGAATCTTCTGGAAAGTTTAAGGAACTCCTGGAAAGCTCTCGCAATTTGATGTAAATGCACGGATTTTTTTGGGAAGTTCTCAGATCTTCTTAGAAATTCTTGGAACTTATGGAAACTCTAAAAAATTCTGAAGAGCTCTCAGAATGTCAGAGAAGTTCTCTGAACTTCTGAGAAATTTTAGGAATGTCTGTGAAATGCGCCAATTTTCTGGGAAGCTATCGCCATTTTTGGCATTCTTGCAAGAAACTTCTGGGAAGCTCTCAGAAATTGTGGGCAGATCTCGGACGTTCTTTGAAGTGCACGCATCTTGTGAGAATCGGTCGGCAATTCTGGGAAGTTCTCGAATCTTCTGGGAAATCTGCAAAATCTTCTAATCTTTCTGACAAGCTTTTGGAAATTGCGGAAAGCTATTTTTGGGAAGCTCTCGCATCTTTTGGAGAAGCTCTCCAAAACTCTGAGAAGTTGAGAGGTAATCACGGATCTTCTAGGAAGTTTTTGAATTTCTGTGAGATCTTCTTTTGGAAAGTTCTCGGAATTTTTGGGAAATTCAAGGATCGTCTTGGAAGAAACTTCTGGGAAGCTTACAGCAATTGTGGGTAGTTCTCGGACGTTCTTCGAATTCGTGAAATCTTCTAAGACGTTCTCGAAAATTCTGAAAACTTCTCTAAACTTCGGAGAAAGTTCGTGGAATGTCTGCAAAATTGAAGGATCTTCTGAACAGTAATCAAAAGGAACTTATGGGAAGCTCACAGAAATTGTCGGTAGTTTTCGGATGTTCTTCGTTGTGAATCTCATGAAATTCAAGAATCTTCTGAACAGTTCTTGGAAGAAACTTTAGAATCTGTCAGAAATTCTGGGCAATTCTCGTAATTTTTTGGACAGTTCGCGTAATTTTTGGAAAATTCACGAATCTTCTGGGATTTTCGCAAAATCTTCTAGGAGGTTCTCAGAATTTCTGACAAGCTTTTGGAAATTATGGAAAGCTCTTGGAACTGATGGGAAATTTTCGAAATTTTTGGGAAATTTTCGCATTTTTTGGGGAAGTTCTCAGAAATTTTGGGAAGTTTTCAAAATTTCTGCGAAATTCTTAAATCTTCTGCAAAGTTTATGGAACTCCTGGAAAGCTCTCGGAATGTTCGGGAAGTTTTCGCATTTTTTGTAAATGCATGGACTTTTTTGGGAAATTCTCATATCTTCTGAGAAATTCTCGGAACTTATGGGAAGCTCTCAGAATTTTTGGGAAGTACGCCGTTCTTCTATGATTTTTTTTTTAGTTTTCTGTAAAGTTCTCAGCATTTTTGGAAAGTTCTCCAATTTCTGCGAAATTCAAGGATCTTCTAAATAGTTTTTGGAAGAAACTTCTGGGAAGCTCACATAAATTGTTGGTAGCTCTTGGTGTTCTTCGATGTGTATGCATATTGTAAGGATCTTTCGGAAATTCTGGGCTCTCGGAATTTCTGACAGGCTTTCGGAAATTCTGGAAAGCTCCCGGAACTGATGGGAAGTTTTCGAAATTTTTGGGAAATTCTCGCATTTTTTGGGGAAGTTCTCAGTGTAAAGTTCTTGAATCTTATAGGAAGTTTATGGAACTCTCGTAATTTGATGTAAATGTATGGATTTTTTTGTTTTTGGGAAAGTCTCAGATCTTCTGAGAAATTCTCGGAACTTATGGGAAACAATTGAAAATTCTGGAAAGCACTCAGAATTTCTGGGAACTTCTCTGAACTTCTGACAAAATTTTGGAATTTCTTTGAAATTCCCCGATCTTCTGTTTCTGGAATTTCTGGGAAACTCAAGAATCTTCTGAACAGTTCTTGGAAGAAACTTTAGAATCTGTCAGGGGCAATTCTCGTAATTTTTTGGACAGTTCGCGTAATTTTTGGAAAATTCACGAATCTTCTGTGATATTCGCAAAATCTTCTAAGAGGTTCCCGGAATTTCTGACAAGCTTTTGGAAACTGTTGGGAAGTGTTCGATATTGTTGGGAAGTTCTCGCATCTTCTCGGAGGAAGTTTTCAAAATTTCAGCTCTCGGAATTTTTGGGAAATTTTCGGAATTTTTTGTAAATGTATGGACTTTTTTGGGAAATTCTCAGATCTTCTGAGAAATTCTCGGAACTTATGGAAAACTCTGGAAAATTCTGGAAAGCTCTCAGAATTTTTGGGAAGTACGCCGTTCTTCTAGGAAGCTCGTGGAATTTTCTGGAAAATTCTCAGCATTTTTGGAAAGTTCTCCAATTTCTGCGAAAGTTCTCCAAGGATCTTCTGAACAGTTCTTGGAAGAAACTTCTGGGAAGCTCACAGAAATTGTCGATAGTTTTCGGATGTTCTCTTGGAAAGTACTCGCATCTTCTGGGAAGATTTCGAAATGTCTGGGACATTCTTTGAATTATTATAAAGTACTTTGAACTTCTGAGAAGTTCTTCGGATTCGGATGTTCTTCGAAAGCTTCCGGAAAGCTCTGGGATTTTTTGTAAATGCACGCATTTTTTTTTTGGGAAGTTCTTCTCCCCAAATCTGATCTTCTGAGAAATTCTCGGAACTTATGGAAAACTCTCGAAAATTCTGGAAAGCTCTGGGATTTTTTGTAAATGCACGCATTTGTTTTGGGAAGTTCTCAGATCTTCCGAGAAATTCTCGGAACTTATGGGAAGCTCTAAAAAATTCAGGAAAGCTATCAGAATTTTTTGGGAAATACGCGGTTCTTCTAGGAAGTTTTTTAAATTTTCTGGAAAGTTCTCAGCACTTTTGGAAAGTTTTCCAATTTCTGCGAAATTCAAGGATCTTCTGAACAGTTCTTGGAAGAAACTTCTGGGAAGCTCACAGAAATTGTGGGTAGTTTTCGGATGTTCTTCGAAGGGTACGCATCTTGTAAGAATCTGTCGGAAATTCTGGGCAGTTCTTGGAATTTTTGGGAAGTTCTCGGATCTTCTGAGAAATTTGCAAAATTTCCTAAGAGGTTTTCGGAATTTCTGACAAGCTTTCGGAAATTCTGGAAAGCTCTCGGAACTGATGGGAAGTTTTCGAAATTTTTAAAAAGTTGTCGCATCTTTTGGGGAATTTCTCGGAAACTCTGGGACGTTCTCGGATCTTCTAGACCTTGTAGTGACACAAATACTGACATCTCATTCTCTCTTGCAGACATCGCCCCAGAAGCACGTCCGTCTGTCGCCCCGCCCGTCCTACCCGTACCCATCGCCAAACTACTCAAACCAAATTGCACAACAACATCACTACCAGCAACAGCAACAGCTCGGTCAGATCCAGCTCTCCCCGGGTGGTACCAACTACCATCAGCAGTCGACGCTCGGCGGCATCGGTGGATCCGCTGTCGCCACCGCCGTCGCCGCCGTCACCGGTCAGGTGCAATCGATGAACGGTGCCGGTCCGTTCGTCACCCCGGGAACCAGTCCCGGATCGACGGCCAGTAGCAACCGTTCGCCCCTGTCGCCGAACCGCCGGACACGAGGGGAGAACAAAAAGTGCCGCAAGGTCTACGGCATGGACCACAAGGAACAGTGGTGCACCCAGTGCAAGTGGAAGAAGGCCTGCAGCCGCTTCGGGGACTGATCCTCCAAGTCGCGGAAGCCACCGCCGCCAGCGGCGGCGACGGCATCAGCCTCTTCTCCGCAACAGCAGTCTCAGTCTGTTGCGATAGCAGCGCCTCTAGCGGTTGTGCTATCAAACCACCACCAACACCACCAGCAGCAGCAGCATCATCACCACCAACAACAACAACAACAACAACAACAACAACAGCAACATCACAACAATAGCAGCAACAGCAACAACCATCGGCAACACCAGCAACAGCAATCAGTCTGATGCGAGCGGCGAAAGCGTGGCGAGTTGCTCAATGCTTCGTATGGTTTAGTGAGAGAGTAGATCGTGTGCGAGTGTTAGTAAGACGAGCGCGTGCACTGTAAATATAAACGTGATATATTTTAGCGAAAAGAAAAAAAAATGATGAAAATGAAAGCATGTGTATGGGGATAAAAATGACAGACAGGCCGAAAAAAAAATGTGGAAATCAATTCGTAAAGAGATAGTTTGTAGGTTCTATTGAGTGTAATAATGTTAGCTATTTATATTCTCAGCCAGCGTAGGCAAGTGGAAAAAGTCGCAGCAGAAGAAGATTTGAACAGAGCATAGCCAGAAGAAAACACTACACAGAAAATGGAAATGGAGCGTATTTTTGTACTAAACAACAGCACTACTACTACTACTACTGACAACTGCATACTACTATTACTCGATAAGTAGTACAGAGCAATAGTGTGACTCTAAACAAAAACCAAATTCAAGTCTTTCCTGCACGTTGTTACACAGTTTATATTTTCCGTATTTGACGCCCCTCAAACGATTGAAACTGATTTTAATCATCGAATCGAGAAAACAAAGTTTATAAGCTTCAAGTTGCAACCGCATGTGATTTTTAAAAACTGTTACATACACGCTATATATTTTCATGGAAAAGTAAATCGTACTACAAAAGCAAAATGCATCGCTGTTGTTCAAACTACTCTTTTTTGTTGATTTTCTAAATATGCATATTATAGGACACAAATGCGCTAAATGTTGTACTCTATTGAACGTTTTTTCTCTAATATCCTCCCCACCCCCATCTAATTCACACACACACACACAAACACCGACACAGAAGTAAGCAAAACACATACATAACAGAACGAATAAAAAAACTGAATTCATGAAATCCAACATCTGGCAGTGTTGACGATTCAAAACAATAACAACAACAACAACAACAGCCCGGTACGATTCCATTCCACCTAGCAAACCATCACCTTAACAAGTAGCAACAGAACCGAACTTTGCGAAACCAAAAACACCCGATCGAGCGCGCTACGGACCCGAACAGTGCACAGTATAAGGACAGGACAAGTGGACGGAAATGGAATAGAAAATAAAAATTGGCTTTTGAATGATCGTCTATCTCTTTATCGAATTACTCGAAGGATAACAACAAGAGCAACAACAAAAAAAAAAGGTAAAATTAATGAAAAATCGAAAAAATAATGAACAAATACATCCGTAATTAATAAATGAAAAATGCAACAAGACTTTTAAAGGCTGATTTAGTTTTTAACGAATAAAAACAACAACAACAACCACAAAACATGCAAAATGATGGAACAACAAACATCAACAAATGACAACCGTAAAGCGTGTTGTTTGTGAACAAAGTACTGACCGTCATATCAGAGCATGCTCTGCTTCGAAGAAGAAGAAGAAAAACAAATTTAAGTGTCGAAATTTTAACGACTTATACGCACACACACCCGCCTTGCGGTGGCAGCCATTGCGATCTACCATGTGCCGCTGTAAACAAAGACATCAACCAACAACCAAACAAAGCCAGGGTGTGCGTGTGCGCTCATGCGAAAATTAGTGTGAAGAAGAAGAAGAAGAAGAAGAAAAAAGCGAATAAAACCACTGCCAATAATGATTAAAAACATGATTAAAACAAAAAAAAAATAACTACATTTAACTCTTACATTGAAGTGAAAGCAAAATGATATCGACTAATTATGCAAGCAAGAAAAATAAACAAACAAAAAAATCGATAATGTATGTGTAAAACCTACTCTTTGACGTGTTTTCCATGGTAAGTAAACAAAAAGTAATCATCGCGAATAAGTCAACAAAAACAAAAACAAACAAACAAACACACACACACACACTCTCGTTGCAAGTGACTCTAAGAATTAAGGGCGGATACCTGCAAGTTAAGAATATAGTTTACGTAATTTTTAAGTGTAAAACAAAAAAACTGAAGGAAAACAAGCAAATGTGTGAACTGAGGAGTTGTTCGAAAAAAAAAAAACTTACTTTTAAACATTGTGACAACAGGTAAAATTGTGATATATTCCAGGAGACAAAATTCGGTAAACAAATTTGTTAGCTTTTTTGTATTCCCGTCGTATTAGTTTTGTTTCTCGTTACTCTTAAACTTTTTTTTTTTTTCGTTTGTATATGTTTAAAGAATATGTTTTTTTTTGGCAACCCGTTTCGGTTTGGATTCGGGGGTTTCGGAACGAACGAAGCCGAACCCAAAAAAAAACGTGGGTTCTTTTTTCTTCTGTGATATGCAACTTCTCTCGTGCCACAACGAGAAGCGAAGTGCGTGGGCTTCCTCCGGGGTTGTTTTGGAGAAGGGGAATAACCAATATCCGCGAATAGCGAGCGCGCTTCCTACTCTGTGATAAACGGGCTGCCGGTTGATTTTATATTTAATGTATTAATATTGGGAAACGTTTGCAATTTGATTTTTAAGTGTACTGTTGTGCAATGGGTCCGGATTGTGGTCTACCCTGTATCTAGTCGGGGTTTTTGGGTTTAAACAGTGGGCTTCCGGCGCGAATCTGAGGCAGAAATGAAGCTTTTGGAATGCGGATGACGTTGGCTGTCAATTGACAACCGGACTAGCCGTCTTAGATGGCTTGGTTGCTTTTCAAGATGAACATTGCATTGATCGATTCGCATCATCGACTATCTCTTTAGTTAATAGCTCAGCTGCAAGAATATTCCCTGTTGTGTTTGACATTTTGGAGGCTAGCGAAGCGAACCTTCTTCATCAAACTATGTGACACAAATTGCCCCGTAACGTAGGTAGATCACCTTTTCGTGGTACGTTACGGGATGATAGATCTACCACCGATTTCTAGTCTTGACTTCTTCAAACTAGACTTGTGTCTGTGCTTATTGCGTTTCATGTGTGTTTTTCAGTGTCGGAAGGTGATTCTGGGTGTTTCACCGTGATGACCGAGCTTCTACCCAGAAACTTTATTTTCTGGCAACCATATCCTCAACCATAACGTGACGTTGAAAATGACAGAGCCCCCTGCGACTCCTTTGCTGTTATTTGTTCAATGAAAAAGCAAACCGGACGGGAAAATTATTTGGCGCTAATACGACCGCAGCTCGGTGCACCGGCTTTCAGAGTGAGACAGGCCCTGCCGCTGCAGGAGAAAGACGAATGGGCACGTGCCACCCGGGAACAAGGACCAAGCAATGGGTGCAATTTGCAATTTATTGGTGGGGCCGTGATTGGGCTACTGCTGGTGAGAACCTACGATTTACAATGAGAAACCGTTCCGTTGCGTTTGTCTTGGTTTTCTTGCGAGGCATTTACCTTTTTTGGCATCTGTAACTCCTGATGCTGCTGCTTTTGTGGATCCCAACCGGTTTCGGATTTCCTTTTCTTTGGATTTCAATCCAGATCCAGAATGTTTTTCTTTACCGGCAGGATGGTACGACGGTTTTTTGCTCGTTTTTTTTTTCTCAACAACAAAATAACAATCGAATGTAAACAGTATTTGCAGTGGTGCCAGAATTGATTAAAAATATGCTTATGGTGTTTGTGGGTGATTTAAGTGTGTCGAAGTATCTTTTTGTGAGTGTTAACACAATGTGGCAGAGTGACTTACCTCTTGGAACAAGATTATTAGTAATCAAAGGAACACATCTTAGTCCTTGTTACTGTTTATACCTTAGTGACAAGACTCGGTTTTGTCCACCGAGGATGATCTTGAAACAAGGAAAAAATGAGTTAGTTAGTCTTCATCTATGTGATTAATAACCTTCTATTCGTTGTTCCCTAGTTTGAAGTGGTTAAGACTAGGGTTCTGATGCATGGTCATTATCGGTGTCATTCCTTAATTTTTTTGCTAAGGAATCCAATTTTGACTGACAAAGGGGCGCGCCTTTGGAGGGTGTTTCAACACTCCAAAGGGTATAAATAGCGGGACCTTTCAATTAGAATCGATTCCTTGCGATGATGGCAAGAATGACAACTGTATCAAAACCGAATACTTCATCATTTCTCAATAGTAGTGGACTAATACGACATGCTCTAAACTAAGGACACGGGATATACTACAATAGATCAAATTACTGGTCTGTTTGCATAGCCGTGGTTATCAAAAAAAGACAGTCGATCAAAGCAGATAGGACCTTTTGAAATGTTTATCGAGGATTGATGGAACTTAAATTACGGGAAAGATCAGTGCACAATGAACCAAGTCAGAACGCAGTAATGGCTTTGTCAATTGACAGCTGTCAACTCAAAGAAAATATTTCCAAATTCTTGGCGTTGAAATTAGCTTTCGGGTAGAAAACTGGGGGGGGGGACGTGCTGTCAAATCAGCCTACTGATCATCTTGTATGAAACTGGTTCCAAACGTAAACAAACGCTGTAGGTTTCTTATGGCTTGTTTACGTTTAGAACCAGTTATGCGAGGTAGGCGACGATTGTTCGTATTTGACAGCCACCTCCCCCCCTTGGTAGAAAATGGTCGAAATGAATGCTTTTTTGTGGACTGTCAGTTGACGGATCAGGGACAGACAATCCTTTTTCGGGTGCAGGTTGATGCATTTTAGATGCATACATGCTATATTAGAATGAATTTTTCGGAGATCAAAGTGGGATTGACAACAAGGCGGGATTTGCATCTCAGACGGAATTCGCCTACGACTCAGGTGACAGTTGGAATTTATGGAATCCCAGTCGGGATTTAGGAACTCTCCTATTCGGATTCACGGAATCCCCAATTGGAATGCACAAAATCTCAGACGGGATTAATGGAATATCCAGTTGGGATTCATGGAATCTGCTGGTGGGATTGATGGAATCCTCAATAGAGATTCATGGATTCCCTGTCGGGATTAATAGAGTCCCAGGTGGGATTCATGGATTCCCAGGCGGGAATCACGGCATCCCTGGTAAAATTCGTGAAATCCCTGATTAACGAAAGATTAACGGAATACTACACACTTTGAAATACCTAATCTTACACGTGATGGAATCCATCTTTGACATAAAGGATGAGACGTAAACAAACATGTCATGTAAAATTAAGTGCTCCGAGACTGAAAAGTTCGAAAGTACGTTTGATTGAGCTGAATTTTGCGCCTATTATGACTCAATTTTATGTCAGAATTGACGCTCGTATATGTCAGCCTCAGAGCACCTAAATTTACATCAATTGTTCTAAGTGTGTAGGCTAGATTCACATAATCTTAGATGAAATCCATATACTCCCAGACAAAACTCACGGAATCCTAGATGGGACTCGTGGAATTCCTGGCGTGATCCTTGAAAATCACGGAATCCAAGACGAAATTCTCGGAATCCTACATACTTAGATTTTTTCGCCAAGATTGACACCGCCTACCAGCTCGGCATTTATTTGAAAATTCCCATTTGTCATCTGAATCTCGGCAAGTTCTTCACTGTGATCCAGCAAAATAAAATGCCAAGCTGATCGGTGGTGCCCATCTCGGCCAACAAATCTAAGTGTGTAGATGAGATTCACGGAAATCGAGGTGAAATCCACGAAAATACCGACTACAATCGCAGTCTGGGTTCACTGAATATCTGGTGAGATTTATGGAATCCTATGCGGGTGTCACGGGATCCCATATCGGATTTAAGGTATCCCAGGTCAAATTAGTGAAATCCTAGGTGAGATTCGAGGAATCCCAAGCGGTCCTCATGGAATCCTATACGAGGTTCGTAGTATTCCAGGTGGGATTCATGTAATCATAAGTGAGATTCACGGTATCCGCGCAGGATCCCAAGTGGAATGTAAGGAATCAGGTGAAATTCTTGAAATCCTAAATTCCTAAATTCATGGACTTCCAGCTGGGGGTGCGACACAGCTAAATCTCAATTTTAGATGGTCGGAAAATCTCAAATTATCGAATCAATCTACGAAAAACCTTGTTTCAACTCTTGCATCTAAATCGATTTACTCACATCGCTCTCCAACTATTTGAAGGAAATCTTAAAAATGTTCATCAATCTTCGTTCTATCACTAACCTTGGGCGCAGCAAAGCGAAAAATTTTCTGCATCCTAGATAGAGTCGCACCCCTCGACTTCCAGGCCCAATTCACGAAATCCAGGTCGAAACTCTCGGAATTCCACGGACCACAGGTCGGATTTAGAGAACCCTAGATCGGAATGCCAGACGAGATTCATGAAATCCTATGCTAGATTTATGGTATTCAAGATGGGATTTATGGAGTCCCAGGTAAAATTCGTATAATCCCTGGCGGGATTTACCGAACACTGAATGGAATTCGCATAATCCTAGATGAAACTCACACAATCAAAGACAAAATTCCCGGATTCCTAGGTGAGATTCTAAGAATTGCAGGTGAGATCCCGGAAACTCCCGTCTGGAATTGTAGTAGGTTCACTGAATCTCTGGTGGGATTTATGGAATTTCAGGTAGAATCCACGGAAGCCCTGGATAAATGCAAGAACCCCAGGTTGGATTTATGGAATTCCACGCTGGATTCATGAAATTCTATGCTAGATTCATGGTATTCCAGATGAATTTCGTGATATCTCTGACAGGATGTACGGAATACTTTGTAGTTTTCGCATAATTCTAGATGAGATTCACAGAATCAAAGACGAATTTCGCAGAACCCTAGGTGAGATTCAATGAATTGCAGGTGAGATCCCTGAAACAATTTTCACTGAATCTCTGGTGGGATTTATGGAATCTCTGGTGGAATTCACGGAATCCAGGGATTCCAGGTCGGATGAAATCCAGATGAAATTCGTGAAATCTCTGACGGGATATACGGAATACTTAGTGGGATGCGCATA